TTCACGGTGTATAATTTACCTTTTCATCATTACTGTTTCATTAGAAACACCGACGCAGCTCACACTAGTTTTTAGCTAGTTATATCTTTTTAAAAATAAACGTCCGTTCCAACCAACGGTTTTTCTGTTTTGAATCAGCCATACGTTATGAATATATTTACCACGTCCACCAACGGTCGTCTTTCTCGCCGGTCTATTTTACTGTACTGAAGGTAAATTTGATTAACTTATTAAAGGTGAGTAGTCGCTAACGAAGCGACGCCGGCGCTGCTTGGCACGGATAGTGCAGCGGTAAATACTCAGAGCGTACTGCTGATTCAAACCAGAAAGATTTGATGAGTTTTTGAAGCTACAGTATTATCAGCTTGAAAGATCGCTAATAAATTTCACTTTGAAGTCCCAAAGCTCGTACCAAGATGTGAACTTGCAGCGAACAAACTGTTGAAGTTTCGTAAAATCAAAGAACAAATTTATATAATCACTCGAGTACTGAAATCAAAGATGACGGCGTAGATACTCATTGACCGTGTCGACCTGGATGTATAAATTAGCAATAATTTAGCCTCATTAACTGGCTCTGGCAACCCAAGTGGCCCTGGCAACCTGACGTAGCATTGTCGAAAAGTTTGAAAAAGTTGCATTCCCCGTCAATATTATGTAAACCGCCATCTTTGATATTTACTTCACCTATAAACTTCACCTAGGTATAAATGACGAATGTTTTCCTGGTTTTCTACATGAAAAAGCCGCAATATTCTCCAACGTTTGATCAGTTGTCCATTACTCTGTTTGACTGCGAAACGTCAGGTTCAAGGTACAATTGACTAAGTACTTTGGGTTTTCCACAGTCTTACGGAAGCTACTAAAATCATGGTGCACAGAAGTATTTTGTAATCTTTTTCAAAGATTTTTACGGTATTTTCATGGCCAGATGTGAGGTTTCTATGTGGTGCATAAAACTAAGATCGGAATAATTGCAGAGTTTGATAGGTCATCTACATCAGAACAGAAACACCTGATCTTAATCATGACGGGATCAGGATCAAGATACCTCACATCTGGGAAAAATTACTGAAGAGACATGTGTAAAGGTTTATAAATCCAAGATATCATGAACTGCAGTCATGGTGATGAAGACTCTCAATGAATTACCCTATTTCATAATGACGTCAGAGTTTCTTTACATCGGCTAAAATGATAGAAATTTAGGCTAAATTTAATCTTAATTCTCTTCTTTCAAGATATTTAACGTAATAGTTGTTCTTGCCTTCACCAGCTCATTAACCAAATTTCATTGTGATTTAAGATGTGTTGTTGTCATTCCATCCCCCTCCAGCGACCATGATCCCTAGCGTATAAACAATAGTTTGTTTTRATGTGACGTCATTATGAAATAGGGCAAATGAATTGCTTTCAGATCCAGTGTCATTAATAATGCAACTTCAAGGACATTTTGCACAACACAAACACACAAAACAAGGACTTTCCAAGGAAAAAGACGTTTTGGTTTGGCCACATCATGAATCAAATTATTTTTTCCTTGTCTTTTTTGATTTTTTTAAGTTGTCTCTCAGCCGCTTGAGTTCTGCTTGTTCTTTAAGAATCTCGATTTCGTCTTCAAGTTTTGCAATTTTTGCACTAGAAAAAAATAATAAAACAATTTTTTCAGTAATGGACTTTCATCAAGCCGCCTTCACTAAGGAATGTAGACACAAAAATATCCCACCACCTGGCGGTCAACATTGTTAAAACCACGTGCTATTACTGCCTTATCTCATTGGATATTTGACGGTATAATGACAGCCCATTGACACCAATCACGAATATTTAACAAGCTTACCTTCTTTTTTCTTCTCTTTCAATCTGTCCATAGTTACTTTCCATGGCTGAGTCATCAAAGTCTTCCACAGCATATCTATGAATGAAAAAAAACTGTGTCACTGTGTGCCAGCAAGTCACACAACACAGCACGTAAGATTACTTTCTTCCAATAAAAATCTTTGAGTATTCCATATAAAATAGGCTCTATTTGTCATACTTCAGCAAGTCGCTGTGTGAACTTCAATAACGTGTCAAAAATGTAGCTTGAGCAGAGGGAACTCAACACAATAACCAAATACTAGAAATGGCTTCAAGTTGCATGTTTAGCGACTAGAGCTGAAGCCCAAATGGTCTACAAGCCAATTGAGTAAATAGCCTTTGCCTAAACTAACAAGGGAATGGGCCCAAGTTTGAAAAACCACTTCTATAAGTAAATGTTTAAGAAAACATAACCCCATCACACTCCTTTCTACCACCTCTTTCTCTTTTACTGCGACGAAAAACTAGCGTCCGAAACGTCAGTAAGTTTTTTTCATCTTTTCACGGTGTATAATTTACCCTTTTCTCATACCCCATCACAAGAAAGAACAACATACAATAAGTTTTTTGATCAAGTTTCAGGATATTTGGCCTATAGAGACAATGTTATGAGCATTCAAACCCTGCGAAAATTACAAAGGAATGTATAGTGTCCAGCCAAACCATCCAACCATGCATACATTGTCTGTATTTTAGAAAAAATTAAAATATCATCATTTTGTTACAACTTGCCCAAACAAGATCAAATTTTCAAATGATACTTATTTTTATGTAAACTTTCCGGTGGAGGGGTTTTTACCACTAACCAATTATGTTTTAGCGCTTCCGTTTGTTGTTTCGATATCGTTACATCGATGTACGAACTCTGCCTATTGAAACATCAAGATGAAGCGTCGATGTGTAATTGGTTAGCGATAAAGAGGCAGAGCACAATTAAAGCTTGTCAAAAAGTTGCCAAAAAGATGGCAAAAAGAAATCCAAAATCCTGTAGAATTGTTCACGGTACGGCGCGTAGCACAGTAATGATCGCATTAATCAAATATCCATTTTTCCACACATCTGATAGCCTGCGTAGCGGCGCTATGGGGAGGATGATGGGAAGGGGACTGGGAAGGACGAAAGAGAAGTAGCTATGAAACCCACATATTTCTTAGATTTCATGTTCATATTGTGAACGTAAAATCCCAATTGGTTAAGAGCCTGTAAATCAAATACTACATCAACTGTTGTACATGTAGTTAAAGCCTTCTCTAGCTTTCTCTCTCGCTAAAGATGTGCCAATCTGCAAATATACAAAAGCTTTCCTGCGTTCTGATTGGCTATCAAAATGCATCTTTTAAACCAACCTTCGTCTATCGTAGCCAAAAATGTCTTTAATATATTTCGAAACGTCAGTTTGCTCTGCACATGCTTCATCCTCTCCATCGACAATAAAGCCATCCAGATCAGAGTCTTCTTCTTCCTCATAGTAATTATGTGTCGGTCTGGGATAATAATTCTTTTGTTCATACATCATCCTATCTTTGCTTTCCTGCGGTCTTGCATGATGAATTAGAGGTTTTGAAGGCTTTTTGTTTAAGGCATTCTTTTCTAACGTTTCAGAATCTCTAATTCTCTTTAAAGTTTTCGAGCTTTCATTTACATGTGATCTTTGTTTGTGGCAACTGTCCCTATCTGGTTCCACTGCAGTCTTCCGTAGTGATTCTTTTTGTTTTCCCTTTGCTTTACTTACAGCCTTCTCTTTTACCTTCTCTTTATTCTTGATTGGCAATTGTTTTTCGTCCATTTCAGTTAACTCATGCTCTCCACTGCTGTTATGCCATCGTTTGAGTTTTGTCACTTCAGTCTTATTCTCGCCTGTCACAGTTTCTGTTTCCCTTTTCGTCCTTTTCAAACCAAACTTATTTTTTTCTGCAATTGCAAGAAGTTCCTTAAAGTTCGGTGGAGCAGATGCAGTTTTCACTTCTTTTTTAACTTTTGAGGTTTCACTCTTTTTCCCATTCACCACAAAATCATTACTTTTTCCAGATTTATCTTTCGAAATTCTTTTGCTGTGTTTTGCTTTCATATTTTTTGTTATTGCACTTCTAGTAATGTCAATGCTCTTAATACCCGAAACTGAAGGTTTAGACGACACACCCGATTTCTGGTACTGGGCAGCGACATCATCTTTTTTCCACTTTGCTAGCATACTTTTCTCTTCTTCTTCTCCTTGTTTATATGGTGGATTTAGAAATGAAGATTTAGGTGTACTCTCATTCTTGCCTTTCTTTCCTTCATTGGTTTTTAGGTTTTGAAGTAGTCGTGCTTGAATTCTGGCTCGTTTTGCAGCTTCCTCATCAGCTGCAAAGTACAAAATAACATTTGTAAAGGATGATGTTATTAGCAACATTTCAGATATGAATTTCACATAATTAGTAAATAAGCAACGTAAAAACTAAAATATAATTAATGATCTAGGGATCAGCCGGCTAGGGCAGGAAAAAAAGCTCGCCAATCAAATCATGTTTTCAAATGGCATGTGTCACGCTCGAGATTAGGAGACGCACCTGTTTGAGGAATTTCGAATATCCGATAGTTATTACAGTGCGACGCGCCGTACCGTAGTCACTTGAACAAATTTTTGATGAGTTTTTGACATTTTCGTGACATTTTTTATTTAATGAAACCAATCACGTATGAGTTTGTTTTGAGAGGCGGAGACTAAGGCAGAGACTAAGGCGGAGATTAAGGCGGAATCAGACATACCTAGGAAAGTGTGGCTAACCAGCTTGTTATGGATGACTTTGATGAGAATATGTGGACCGCATGGCACTAATGAAATATATGAAGATATGGAAATATAGATAAGTTATAGTGCTTGGGAACGAGGTTATTCCGGGCGAAAGATGACTTTGTTTATTTGCAATACGCAGGGTAAATCACCAGAGTGGACAACACCGTACGTAGTCTGTATCTTATCCCGGTTCCATACTTAGTATATGGAGGGTTTCATGAGTTTTTGAACTTCTATATTATATTCCAATGCATCGTTTGTGACTTTAGGAGTCAGATGTCTTTGAGATGTATTTGCTTCATTATATCGGCTGATTACGTTTTGTACATATCTAAGACTCACTCTCACTTCTCAAGAGATCTGTCTCTGTCCGGCTCCTTCGTGGTGAAGATCCAATATTCTTTCTCGGAACATCGTAGGAAGTGTTCTTCCGTTATCGTAAATCCCGCCATTTCTGTTATGGCGAAGTTTAACATCTGATTATCAAACGTAGATTTCTTTTTTAAATTCATATTTGCAAATTGAACCCCGATAAAATTGCTGTGTTTATCGGATTGTATTTACTAGTAAAATCAATTCAATAAATTTAGCAAATATTAGCACTTTTGCGAAATTTCCCAAGTGCATGGCTATGCAAAATTGATCGGAAACAAAGGCAGGACAAATTACACAAATCAAAATCGTCAAAAATGTGTCACGAATATGTCAAAAATTCGTCAAAAATTTGTTCAAGTGACTACGGTACGGCGCTTCGCACTGTAACAGATACCGAAGTAAGATTATTTGGCTGACGCGCAATATCAGTTTCCGAGCAGCGCAAATGAGTAATAGTCTACGTTGTTCCTTGATGCTTTCAGTGTCTTGTCCAAGGGGGAGCGTACGGATGGACATACGGACGGACGTATGGAAGTGACGTAACCATGCCATGAAAAATCAACTCGATGGGTTACCATTTTTTCTAAAGGTGGGACCAAACTAATTCAGAGCGAATTTTGGATAATGCGGCGTCATGACTTTTTTCTGCCCAAAACTTTCCATCCAAATTTTACACAGGCTGCATTAGTACTAAATGATAAGATTCTGAAAATTTAAGAAAAACCGTACTTGAGGATGAGGAGAAAAAGCCAAAACCTAAAAATAGCACTGTTTGAATTTCGGCCGTAATAAACTAAACACTTAAAAAATTTTAAAATAAAATACACTGTTAGAATCTAGGATAATCCAGTTAAATCGACGCACTAGTTTTGCGAAGCGAGCGAGAATAAAATGACTATAATTACCGGGTTACCTGTGATAAACCACTCATAAAATACCTTCGTTTTTTTTTCCCGTCCTGATTCCTCCCCTACAAAATGGACAAGTTGCGCAATAGTACCCAGGGATCTTCATGGCATTACCCAAGAGATTTTTGCGGGCTTCTGCCATAGAGTTCCGGTCTATATAACTGATCAATTAGCATGTACCAGCTGTCGATCAATGTCACCATGTTGTCAAGTGATTAAGAAAGGGTGGAGCCAGCCGATCACGTGACGTTAATTTATGTCTACGCATGCTCTTTTTCGTTGACTGCTGTAATTCAAGACACTCGAACTATAAATACTCGTAAACAAGGATTTCGAGCCAATTTCTAAGCGATTACTTCAATGCGAATATTTCTAAGAGTTTTCAGTCATCTACAGTTTGTTCAAATGGAAGGGAGGCTTTGAAAAAAGAAATCATCTTTCACAAAAAAATGTCCCACCCCCCCTAGATAAATAATGACCGGTCCCTAATGCTGCCTATGTTGTTGTCTTTGACCAGTTGAACCAGTAAGGATAATAGTGACTGTAACAATTGGTTGATTTTTCCTTACAGTAACGGTTTTAGGAAGGTGACACAACACAATCTTTCACCACAATTTTATTTTAATTTGAATTCTAGATTACACATTTCCATGGAATAATGATTTTTCTTAATAACTTTTCAATCGAGACATTGAAGGACTTGCTTATCTTCATATCTATACACACTCTATGGTGATTTTTATAATCCCCCACGCACTAACAACAACACAATTGTAGTTTAGGGACTAGTTTCGTTCGTTATTAGGACCTTTTCAACCTAATAGCACATCAAATCATGTGATACAAATCACGAATTAAATCATTCCTTTACCTTGCTTTTTCTTCTGTTCTTGCTCTTTTCTTTCTAGAAATGCTTTCACTGCAGAATTGCAAACTCCAGGTGCTGAGTCTTTATGCTTATGTCCTGATTTCGTTAACTACATTGAAAAATTAACGAATGCTTTTAAAAAGTGATTAATGACCATCTTATTAAATTCAATTTAAATGTAAGAAAACTTGGAAAACACTTAATCAGTCTGTAAATCAGTACTACACAATTATCATCCAAGTTTTTGAATCTGGACAAAAAAAATTAAGCCAGAAAAGGTTCATATATGAATGGTTCATCAGTCAGAAATTTAGGCCACTGTCATCCCAAACGAATGTGAATAAACGCATGAATCAGGACAATAGGAAAACTTAGTTGGACTGGAAAAAAAATTGATAGAATGTATAAATCCTCAATAGACACATATTCTAATTCAATTCTAGATGCCCAGTTCAAAAGAAAAAATTCAAACTTATTTAAAAAATGGAGTAAATTAACTGACGCATTAAGTTAAAGATAATAAAAGGAAGCAAAAATATATAAATATTTTTAAACCGAAGCTTTCTTTTTGATCATAAATTATCTAATTATAATTGATTGTCAGACTGTATGGCTGTTAATTAATTTATTTTCCATTTATTTCAATAACATTATTTTCTTTTAAAAGAGGGAATCGGATGTTGGAAAAAAACAATTTAAGGTGGCTAAAATCAGTAACGGAAAGCTCCGACCAGTAGCATTCAAAGCGCGCTAAAACAGACTTCCTCTCTTTGTAGCCATTTGATTTTTAAATATAAATCGGTCAATTGATTGAAGTTTAAAATATTGGGTGTGGCATGTCGATCGTCCTTATTATGCAAACGYTATGGGAAATTCCCGAAAAACAGTTTTTCGGGTCGGTCTCAAAAAATCCCACATGGATTTTGTCCAAACTTAAGGATGTTGTATTTTGAGTCATGCCCTTGCTGATGAGTGAGTTTCAAGGAATTACATTTAGCCATTTTAGAATTATGAAGCCCCAAAGTTGGTTGTCGATTTTTCAAATTCAATTCCATATCACTCACAGAGAGAGCTCTAAAACAAGATGTGTTCAATATTTCGCCCTGGAATTTCGCATGAGAAATTTTAGATATGTTCTTTTTATGATGTTGAGTTATGAGGCGTTTGTTTATATCTATTTAAAACTACAGTTCGGCAAATGTAGAGCATTTTCATGACAACATTCTCCGCACCTATAAGATTTTAGTTAATTCATATTCCTCGGGAACGCCTCCATAGATTTTTGTAAGAATTTCAGCACATGAGATACAATGTGTATATAACAAAATGCATTCGTTTTGTTTCGGATACTGAATTCTTAAGTGGCGAAAAAATAACGTTAAAAAAATAAAAAATTACACTACCCATATATCTCACCAGTATCTGTTGAGCTCAAGGTATTCAAGTCTTTGTCTTTTCCTTTTGTGTCATTAACAATGCCCGTTCAAGCTATTTGAATAAACTTTACAAGTCATTGTTACTTTTGCTCACGCGAGCCGTGACTGTTGAAATGCGCATTCCGGTGGCTCCAAAAACCTTCCAGTCAAAGTAGTTACGACCTCAATGAGGACTAGTCTTTAATGGTGCCTCAGATATTTTCTCTTTTTTATAAGCGTAATACAACGACGTATTTTATTAAGTATTTATGTATCTTGTTGCTCCTTGGCAAAAATGTAAACATACGCTTATTTACAATGATTATAACCATTATTTTAACGTGACACACCGGTGTCATAAGGGACTCTCAGATCGGCCTACGAGTACGGAAACGTGTCCAAGTACTTGTATTTCAAAATTGGCCTTGTATGTGCGCGTATCGAAAACTGACTCTTTGTTTCTTTAAAAGTTCTAAATTATATGTAAAGTTCGCGTTCAGAGATGTTATCAAGAACGATAGGGCTAGCAATAATGCTAGTTTGTTCGAATCATTACACTCAAATACACATAATTTATAAAACTAGCCATTACACTTCTGTGTATAAGCTTTTAGATGATAATCACCGTAAAACAGGCCCGTTTACAGTAGCAACTTGTCGCGCGACTTTTTGAGGAAAACAGACAATCTGATTGTAAAAGTACTATTAGACAAAGCTGCTAGTGTAGACGGCTGTGCACTGACCAATATGGATTAATACAAAATAAATATGGAAATATAGTTTATCGAAAAAAAACTTATTGTTTAAAGTGTATAATTATATTGCTCAATGTTTTAATGTGTTTTGTGACTCTTGGTTTTAGATGCTGGTCTTGCATCCACGGAAACGATGCTGGTAAAACAAGTGCCGCTAGAAGTCCACGCGCACCTTTCTGATTGTAGACATCTCCAAGGCTTCTGTAATTTAGCCCAGCTTCGACAATTTTATCACTCATCGATGACGAAAGTCCAATTCGCACCAGTTCTATTCTCTTTACCTTTCTTATTTCAAGTGTGGATTCCTGGTCTGCAAACACTTGAAATTGTTTTGCAGAAGCCATGAACTCAGCGTGTTTGATAGACAGTTTTGATTTATACAGTATTGAAAGTAGAGCTTTGACGTCTTCTGTGGCGTCATGTCCAAAGAACTCTTTTACGAACAAAAAGCTGTAAAGCGCCGAGATGTTATCGTTTTTTAGCAATTTTTTAAACACAAGGTCAAAAGGGCTCATATTTTTATAATTTTTAGTTTAGATCCACATGTCCTACTGCAAAAATATTACTTTCACAGCATTCTCACTCGAGCCCTAAATTCCTTTCCACAGTGTTGACTACTCAGGGTTTTCAGAATATGGAAGCCCGATCCTCATTGGTTAATTTCGAGTGAGCCGCTGTTAATGTGGAAGTCTGTTTAAGGAAAGCTTCCTTTTCAAACAGGATGTGATTTCTTCAAATTTAGAAATTTACACAATCGTCCAAAAAATATCTACTTATTATCTAATAAAATATTATAGTAAAGGAAAAGGTTGTGTTCGTGAGTTTGACCACTCGCTATGGTAATTAAATTGTCAATAAAGCTATCATTTTATGTTGGAAACCCTGACCTTTGTCTTTTTTTTATTTGAAGCCTGAATATGAAATACGTAATATTCACAGATGATTTAAAACTAATTAGAATTTATTTGTTCTTTTTCATCGATTCTTCGATTATTATTTATGCTAGCATCATTGACTTAATTGGCATTCCATATTCTGAATAATGTAATGTTCATGGTTTTGACAGCTAATATATTCCAAAGTAATCCAGGCCCGTTATTGGATTAGATATGCAAGAAACTTTTCATTGGTTAAACTAAACAAAAGGAAAGGAATGAAGTGCTGGAGTGAGCAGCTGTTAGTGGAGAGGGCATGTGAAGATCTGTGAACGAAATTAATGTCGGCTGAGGTGGACACTACTTGTAGTAGGGGTATGGAATTTTTTTGGAACTATTGAAAAAACAATTATGCTTTAGTTTAAAACGAAAATAAGCTGAAAAATTAAATTAATATTTTTGAAAACAGCAACAAGGCCCAGCTACCAAGACTTCGACTTTGACAGACTTCTATTTGCTAAGTCTGAAAAACAAATTCTGGATTTTGTTAAAATTTAAAAGTAGGGCTGAGTGCTTTATTTCAGGAATCATTCGAATAAGCCTTTTTGGCCGACAAAAAATGTGGCGTTATATGCGTTACTACTTATCTTGACCTTCAAGGGTCACGTTGCTTACAATCTATTTGTTGCCTGACATTTTCACACGAAACACTTTATTTACACTGTGAACTAAGCGAATATTTTATAGAAATTCGTTTAGGAATGCTATTTCATTCGACTTCATTCAAGTCTGTAAATTACTGATCATCTATTGGAGCGAATTCTCATTAGTTGTTTTGAGCGACAGCTATTGAGTAGATTAGTAACTTGTTGATGATACAATAGTAAAACGAGTAGATTTTTGGTAAATTGACCAGATCTCACCTGTTTTGAAGCACTGATATTGTTTTCACTTGCTTTACTCATTAGTTCTTGGAAATTCATTTTGTCTATGGCACAAAGTAAAATATAAACTTAAGATAAGGGGATTAAGAGGACAACATTGCTGTTGATTAAAATGAAGATGATAATGATGAAGGTGATGTCATGATTACAAAATATGAGAAGGATGATTAGAAAGTCCTATTGTATTACTGTTACTATGGTATTTCCTCTATTATAAATTAAGCCCCAAGCCTTTGATTAGCCCTCTTGTAATATGCCCCCAGCCTCTAATAAGCACCAACCCATAGGAACACTGTGGTCCTTTTCTCTTGGGACAGGCCATTGAAAGTTATTCAACCTGTCAAGATTATGGATAAAAGTAATTATCAATTTCCAATTATCACAAAAATGTAATTAGCTCCCAGCCTCAAAATAATCAAGCCCCAAGTTCAAAAGACTGTCTGCATCAAACATAGCAATGGGACAATCATTAGTCAAAGAAATTTCATGCTGTAATTAAGTTAATGTTCAAAAACTTGTTCTTATTTTATTCAAAGGGACTGTTATAATGATTCAATGTGAAATAAATAAATAAATATATAAATATAATGAATGAATGAATGAATGAATGAATGAATGAGTGAGTGA